TTATATTTAATTTTTGAGGAACAAAACACATGTCCACTAGAAATACATGCATGATTGTAGTTCATATTCTTCGAAATGATCTCAAAATATGTATTTTTAAAGAAAAACTCCTATATACAGATGAATAGAGATTGCAGGTTAAGAAGTTACAAAAATCGTCGTAGATCTGTAAAACGTTTAGAGACTAGAATTATAGTAAAAATAACCTCTTTAACAGCCTAGATTGAAAATAATGTAATAATTTTCATAAAATATCTGGAAAGAAATAGAACCAAAATTTATTTACTGTACAAGAATTTATTTAGCTCACTCGTGTTTATCCCTAAGGTCAGAAATTTGCAAACGATTTCAGCTTTTTTCTTAATAAGGATGTTAAGTTTACTTTTAGTTTCTACAAGTTATTTTATGTGAATCATTTTTCCTATCTCCCTCATTTCCATTTCGCTGCCAGAATGTAAATTTCTAGTGCGCATGAAATTCAAATGAGAGAGAGTGAAGGGAGTATTTAAAAAAAGGTTTTAGAGGGCAGACTTAGAGCGTTTTCTGCCTGCCTGAAGGCTGCGTGGCTACTTTGATTCTCTTACTAATGTTCTGAGTGTTGCGTTATTCTGGCCATTAGGCTTATCACGCTACCCTTAGGTATTCTATTTGCGCAGCAGTTAGGCTAACTTACTTGTTTTAGTTTTAGTCCATCCATTATCTTTGACTTGAGCCGTAATTATTGGCTTCTGTAAGCACGAATGGTGCAGTCTGTTAAATTTTATCTGGATACCCTTTCCCTTCCTTTGTGGTACTTAAAAGTCATAACGATAATTCGTTTCAATCTCAAGATTTGTCGTACATTTGATGTTTACAGAGAACACGAGACTTTACAAACTGTTGAGCTCATATTTTTTACATATACTAATTGTGGAGGGCATTGCAAAGTGGTGAACGGAATTTTCCCATTTAAGATTTAGATTTTTTTTAGTTTCATGTTTAAACGATGTTTCGTATATATCTTCGTTTAAAGAACATTCTAAAAATCCTAGAGATCTGCTTGCTTTTGGATAGAGCTAAAAAAAATTTTTAATGAAATTTGTATAAAATTTTTAACTTTCTTTTTTTTTGGCTAACTTTCAAAAATCACTCGATTTTTTTTCGACAATCTCAAGTTAGTGTTTTTAAAATTTCAAAATTTTGTGTCGGTTATGAAATTTTGAACTTTTCGCGTATTAAAAAATTTTTTTCCATCTTTTAAAACAAAAGTGATAAAAAAATATTAATTTGACGATTTACGACTTTTTACTTCTTTGTACGAAGTAAAAAGAAAGTAATGTAATAGCGAAAAATTTCGGGTATCATATTTCAATGAAAATATCCTTTTTCAAGGCTATCGAATGCAATTTAACGATGTTTTGGGGTGATATCTGCACGTAGGGACAGAATAAAGGCCTTTTTTTTCCTAAATAAAAATTATAAAACTGATTTAAAATGAATTCTGAAGAGAATTTTTCGTGGCGTCTGTACGAACGTATGTACGTACTTACGTATCTCGCATATCTCAAAAACGAGTATCCTCAGAACGTTGAAATTTTGTATGTGGGACTGCTTTTTTTGTATGTGGGACTTTTAACTGTAGATGTGCACCTCGTATCTTGATTGCAATCGACTTCAACAAAAGTATATAGATATATGTGTATATATATCCACTCTGTTACTCGGCTCAGTGAACTTAGTTTCTTTATTCTTATATGTATGTAAATTGCGCATTTTTTGCTTTAAAAATGATTGAATTATGTTGTTAAGTTTAAGATTTTTATGCCTTTAGTTAACCTGCATGCAATAAGTGTGGAATTATCAACAATAGAAAAGGTTTTCAAGTGCGACTAAGCCTACGTTCTGATTACCATGGCGGCCGAGTATGTTTACATTTGAAACTTAGCAGAATTGTGGTTTTGTTGCCAATCTAGAAAAACTAAGCTTCTCAACAACAAAGATAACACCTTCTTTTATTATTGCGAATTAAATCATGCTTAATCCATTCTGTAATAAATTAAATCATGCTTAATCCCTTTTGGAATAAATTAAATCATGCTTAATCCATTCTGGAATAAATTAAATCATGCTTAATCCATTCTGGAATAAATTAAATCATGCTTAATCCATTCTCGAGGAAATAAATGTTTAAGATTTGCTTCGTAATTTTTAACATCGATATTTTGAGTTTTTATGTATTTTTGCCTTATCGCGAAGTGAGAACTGAATTAATTGAATAAGAAATACTCAATCGTCTGTGAAAAAAACTGTTTCTTTTTTCTTTTTTTCTTTTTTTTTTTTTTTTTTTTTTTTTTTGTTTGTTTCATTTCTTCGTTTAGATTTTTTAAAGTATTTTACATCGTTTTAGATTTATTAAAGTATTTGAATAGAACATGTGGTAACGAGTAGATAATTCTTCAGATGACATAAATTTTGTGCATTTTGAGTTATAAAATGAACGAAATGCAACGCTGTTAAATGAACCTAGCGCCAGAGTGTGGCTATGGTAAATAAATATAGTGAATTTTAAAGAGTGCATTTATTCTATTATGGTTTATGTGCTATGGACGAATTTAGTAACTTTAAATTAAATGCAAGAAAAAAATGCGTATAATTTAATATTCCGTACAGCAAAGTCATGTGCTGTACACATCAAAATTTTTCAATATGCTATAATATGAAACAGATGAATTCTTAAAAATTCAAAATAATACATACTGGAAAATACAGTTTCAAGATTTTGAAATGTTACTGCGCCATAATAAATTCTATTATGTTTAAGGATAGATTACTAAGTAAAATGATTTCCAATGAAATGCAGGGTATAATTTTTAAGTTTCTCAGTTTCATAAATTTTTGTACACTTTTCACAGCATTTCTTTTAAAGTTGGCGCTCAAATAACAAAAATCATGAATTTAATATATTGTTAAATGTATAATTTATTAACTTTAAAATTTATCAAGTTTCAACGCCCTTTATTATTCGTATTGTAAAATTGTAGACAAATTCTGAAGAAAGAATTTTTTAGTCTATTATTTCTGCAATCTGTATAATACATTATTTTTCTTGTTTCAGTTCAGTAATTATTTAATGAGTTTTTGATAAAAGCGTGTTTTTAAAAAACTCTTTTTGAGTAATTTTACTGAGCGTCAATAACACGAATAGTGCCAAAATGCTGCTATAAATTAAGAATTTTTTTTAATGGATCATTTTGCAATACAGAAAATAAATACATCATTGTAACTAGAAAGTAAATAAAAGATCTCATACAGCAAGAAGATTGCTAGATATGTTAACTGCATAATTATTATAAAATATAAAATTTTATAAGATTTGTTTCCATACCATAGTTATTAGCCCAAAGGGCGTTAACCCAGAAGAGCTATTAATTTCCTTTTGGCATTTTACTTTCAAAACTTTAAATGTCTGTTTCACTTTTCAAATTGTCGCCACCAAATATTATCACTGTTATATTTAAAGAAATTAAAAAATGAAAAATAGGCATAAATATATGTATGTTTCTCGCATTGTGATAAAACAACGGTAATTATATAGCCAGCGAATTTTGAATAACGTAATCCTCCACCTTCATAATATGGGCATCTGTGAAAACCCTAATTTGGAATTAGGAATTTGTTCTATTACCGATTTCATATTCTACAACGTTTTAGCGAACTTTTGATTAACAAACTGAACTCAACGATTTCAAAGCGAGCAATGGCAATACTGTACCGAAAAAAAAAAGAAAAAGAAAAGAAACATTTTTATCTCCAGCGTGCGAACCTGTGTATCGTAAATTCTAAAAATATGCTCGTTTTAAAATTATTTGCGATATTGCTGTTAAATTGAATTTTATGGTATTTAATAAATAAAGGTAACACGCAAAACGTTGAAAAACGCCTCTTTGCACGTAATGTAAAATCTGAAAGTTTTCAAATTTTGTGTGTGTTTTTATATTGTTTATATTTACCAAACAAAGGCGAATTATGTATCATTACAATATTTCTTAAAGAAAACCTGGAGCAGTAGCACAATATTTCTGATTCGATTTTGGCAACAGTGAAATATTTCAATTTTTTGGAAGGATTTAATGACTATGTGAGTAGGTAACCTTTCGAATACGAAAGTTTGAAAATGTTCAGTTAGTGTGAAAGTGTTGTAAATAATAAAATAATTGGTTAGTTTTCCGTTATGCACCTGCCATGTGTTTTGGCAAGTTTTTTAATTGTAAACTATTTCTTGTTATAAGAATAATTTATAGACATACACATATATACAACGACAACCCAGATGGCCGTGTCACTAGATCTCAGCTTGTATTTTCATATAAGCGCGAAAACGCGGAGTGTATTTCTTCTTTTTCACAACTGAAAAAAAACGTGGCAGGTGCATAACGGAAATGTACCATTAACATTAACAAGAACACGCACTCTATTTTATATCTTTCAATATTAAATGCAATCTCTTTTAATATCAAATACGGTCTCTTAATATCAGATAAAGCCTATTTTTATTAATAAGAATCTTATTATATAATGATGTTATTATCAAATGATATTTACTTTTTTTTCACCCAAAGAAGAGTTATTTCGCGTATGAATACAAAAACAATATCTTTCAAAGTAGGGAAGTGTTCATTCTAAAAATGTTTATAATCACTGAAATATTTCTACAACTCCCGATCAACATAATTTTAAAGTTAACTGTAAAAGTGCAATCGTTTCTAGGGCTTCTGAAATCTGAAAGTTATTTTAATAGCTGCTATAGAATTCAAACATTGAGAACAGATGCTGTAGGACTTTTTACTTTTAAAACAACACACGTTGAAAGTATTTTTAGAAGTAATACAAATTTTGTGAATCTTCAAAATAAATGGAAAAAATAATTTTTGAAAACTACTTTGGATCTATATCTCATCCTCAACTCATTATTATAATTGGGATTTATTCTATTATGAATTACATAATTGATACAAACTTACCTAAACGGAAAAGTATCCAGAATTAAAAAATAATTCTTGTTAATGTTTGGCAGCGTGTGACACTCTCTAGCAGCCGAGCTGGTTGTGATGAAAGAATTTAACTCGGAAATGCAATGCTTTTATTGAAATTTTCCTGATAACATACGTCAGGGTGTCCATTTTTAGCCATGGCTGAGAGGGCTGACAAAACAGGAACTGAGTGTTATGATAAGAATTTCTTTTTATTGGACGGTATTTTATTAAACTCTAGTGTTTTATTTTTCCTTGTTACCCTGACCGAGTCTCTCTAAATCGAGTTTTTAATGTTTTTAAAATCCTTGAAGTGTATTCTTAGGATTTAAGACAGTTAACTTTTCCAACGTAGTTATGATACAATAAAATCGTTCTGATGAGAGAAGCTTAAGCAAGCTTGGCAAGATCACTTTCAGTAAACTTACGTCTTAGATTACAGTGTTGCTATATGGGCCAAATGTAATTTGATTAAAACTTTGCGCTCCTTTTTACAAAATGAGGTCAAATAACATGATTTGTAATGTTCAAAGAGGAACAGCTAATTACCCCTTCTTAAAAGAGCTTAATTTGAAAAGCGAGCGATGATATATTTTGTATATATAATAAAAGTAGCATGTAGTTTAAAAGAGTGTATCTTGTGAAATAATTACCCACTCAAGGATACACGACACATAACAATAATTTTCATTAAAAAGAATAGGATTGTGTTTAGAAGCCTCGAAAAGAGGTTCACATCGTTTTCAAGAGCTCTTTGGACCATCTCATCAGGGTAATCCAGTTTTTCAAAAGATTGTTCCACTGCAAATTTTTGTTATATCATCAATCGATCTTCAATTAACAGAAAGTCAGATATGCAATTTCGCAATATTTTTTATTCTCTCTTAATCTATGTAAACTAATGAAATAATGAAAGAGTCTATTAGCTCAATGTACATATATATTACAATGCTTTTAGCTCCTTATTAATATATATATATAAAGTAATGAAGGGAAAATCCAGGTAACTCATTGTGGCGACATCGTTTGACTACTGAAACACAGTCTATCAAACTCTTCACGTTGCGATTTTCTTTTGATGAAGTAGCAACAGTAAAAGAGCTCAGAATAAAAGTAAACATTATAATTTGTTTTCAAAAATGAAACTCGCTATCATTTGTTTTACTCTCCTTCTTTAGTTAATAAATTTATTTAAAGAAGTTTGCTTTTTACAGTGTACAGTGAATACATTTATCTTTAATCTTTGAACCTATAAACTGGTGAGAGCGTTCCTGATCGACTGATTGCTATTAATGTCTACAAACGAGAATGTTGAAACAGCATTGGAGAGATTAACATTCCTCCATGGAATCCCGACCCCAAAGTATGGTTTCTTCAGACCGAAGTACAATTCCGCAGAGCAGGAATGAAGGCTGATTTAATAAAATATGATTATGTAGTCAGTTCGATCGAAGCAGAGACATAGTCACAAGTCGCTGATATCCTCATCAAACCACCAGATTATGGCATATACATGGCCTTTAAAAAAAGGCTTATTGAATTTTTCTCTGATTCTGAATCACAGAAAACTGAGAAATGTCTGACTGAATTGGAATTGGGAGACAGGAATCCATTCCAACTTCTCTGCGAAATGCGAAACTTGACGACGGAGCAGATGCCGGATGCATTTTCGAAAATCTTCTAGATGCGATGACTACCGCTTAATATGTGAAGCATTTTGTTTGTAAACAACGATGATTTGTCCTCACTATCGACAATGGCTGACAAGATATGGGAATTAAATCCTAATCCACCTCAGGTTGCTCGAATTGTTTCTCCACCATCCGATAACAATATCGCCCAAAATTTACAGATACCAAACTTAAAACTGCAGATAGCAGAAATGAGTAGACGTAGAGGTTTACAGATATCAGACTTAGAACTGCAGATAGCAGAAATTAGTAGACGAAGATACAGAAGGAATTCAAGAAATGTTTCAAAAATAACAGTGATCCAAGTAATTGTTACTTTAACCATAGTCTTGGGGAGAGAGCTTTCAAGTGCACACCGCCATGCAAATATCAGAGTTTGGAAGAGGAAACCTGAATCTCGGGTTTCAGAGACGACCGAAAATCTAGGGATCGAGCTGAGCTGTCTTTGTATTCGTGAGAATGCATCCTGCAACACACTTTTTTTAATTCACATTGAAACAGAAGTATCGGTTATCCCATCATCTCCATCGGAAAAAAGAACTGTGTCTAAGGTTGAGCTGTTTGCAGCTAATGGCACAGCAATCAAAACTTATGGTAAAAAATTGCTGGAAATGAATTTTGTGCTGAGCAGATCTTTCAACTGGCCTTTCATAATTACAGATGTTAATAACCTAAATTTTTGAATAGGCATTCATTCACATTTTAATTTATTAGTCGACAGTAGTACCTCATTCACGTCTAAAGATACTTTATGTAATGGTGGTGTCACTCTTAAATTCATTGCTAACACTTTCCAAAAACAATGCAGAAACATTTTAATTAATATTTCAAACTCAAAGATGAAATAACAACAAATCTTCAGACATATGAAGTAGTTAATTCCAAAATCTCATTAACACTTCCTAGTAACAATGAGTCTTCTAAAGGCATTCACCCTAGAAACACAAGAATTAGTCGAAGAGTAAGATTTCCTGCATATTTGAAAGACTATGAAATATAACACTGTTAATGGCAAGGGTGTAAGTGTCTGCATCGTTTGCAATACTGAAACGCTAGTTTCTTTCGTTTAGACAATTTTAAAATAAATTTTTAACACTTTATTAGTTTAAATGTTACAAATTGTATTTTTAGTTAATAATATAATTTAATAACTCTAGTAAACTCACAAAGTATTATTATTGAACTATTACTTGTTCCACGCTATTTTTGAAGATGTTGAAATCAACGCTGATTAATTCACTGTTCATCCTGGTGCACTTAAAATGGATTACATCTGACATCTTTCTCAGCCCAGTCTTTGATATTGTATACAATACAAAAAATGTTCGAGCTTTTGTAATAACTGTCGCGACTTAATGTGATCACACTGGTAATTTGTAGATATGAAAAGAAGAAATAAATGACAACTGTAACCAGTTAAAAAACTTATGAATTTAATTATTAACATTGCTACATTTGTAAAATAAAAAGTATAGTACTAAAGCTTTATATGAGAATAATAATATTAAACAATTATTATTTTTTAATTTTTAGTACAGCACTTCTTAGTGGCTGTATTTTTCGAATCAAATCGCTATTTACTTTTTTTTTTCACATTTATACTGCATTTGAAAACCGAATGTCTAGCAAAATGTGTAGAACCTCGCTCATTTGTGCTCTTTTCGATATTTTTTTTTTCGGTTTTTTTATAGGCAGTTCCTTCTTGGAAACTGCAAAAATTACTTTTTCTCTTAATTCAGCGGCAGAATTTATTCTAAATTCATTGATTATTACAGGATCATCGTCGTTTAACATCTAAAAGCAAAAATCGTCTATGTTCGATAGGGATACTACTTACCCATAAAGATCTCTATCTACACTTTGCACCCCGATGAGGGCTACAGGCCCGCTGTTATCCTTAAGCTGTTACTGTGCTCTTCTGGAAGAGGAAAGGTACTATGGCCAAGGACCAGGAGAGCTGGATAGGCAACATTATTCAAACTCATTTTATTACGTTACATAGGCATGCAATGTCCTTGCATTTGTTTAGAGGGCTTTGTATGATGTTTTAGTTTTAGGAATCCTCATTTTTATATACATTTTTGGGTTGTAATTCTTCCACAAATCCTTCTATAAAAATGACCAAATGGTGTGAAGTGTCCAAAAGATTTGCCTTTGCTACTGTAACTGCTTTCAGCATTTTCTTTGACTTCTATACCCTTCGATAATTCTTATTCAAACTTCGAAGCGGTTATTCGCTTTTCCATTACTTGGGTAATATTTTGATAACAGTCTGAAATAATGAGTACTGTTCAGCAGGTATCAATTATGTTCCATCCATAGCCTATGTTTCAAGCTGATCTACAAAAAGATATATCGCTGTTCAACTTATCCTCACATTTCAGTAGGCAATTGATCAATAGGCCATCCTTACCATTCATGTCTTGGAGCCCTAATATTCAATCTAAACACTGGATAACAAAACTAAAATACTTATAAGAAACTTAACGCACGCTTCTTGCGGAGTTTTATTCTTAAAATAGGTTAGTAATCCAATTAAATACAAAGCAATTATTAAATTAAAGACGAAGAAACGATGCTGTTGTCACTGCAACTCTTAATGTAACCAGAAGAAAAAGAGAAAATCATCAATAATCAGTTCAGCTGTCCTGCAATTAGAATCAAAGATACAGCGCTCTTGTTCTAAATTGGCTTTTAGATTCTTGCTTGTTACCTAATTTTCATTTCTGTTAAACATGATAGAAAGGAAGGAAAAATTTAACATAAAATACATTGTTAATTAATATACATCTTACAGGCAGTAATTGTTCGAATATTCAGGCAATATTTTACTCATGCTAATAACAGCCATTGATTCATTATCACTGCTCATGCTCAAAACAAAAATGTTTCACATTCCAGAGTTTATTATTACGCTTTGCATAAACCTGGTAGTTTTGCATTTTGTAACAAAAGCTTTCTAAATATGCGAGAAGATGTTCTGGTAGAACACGATATAATATCTACATTTGTTGGTGTTGCATACATTTTTCAATTAAAAAGTTAGAAATAATTCAAGGCTATTCTGTTGTAATGAACGTTTCCTGCCACTATAAATTTTTCTAATTAATCTCACTCTGAATTCATTTATAAAGACTATTTTTCTTGTTTGCTCTAGCTGGAACCTTGTTAGTTCGGGAAACGTGTGACACTACAATTTTCTTTTGCAGAAACCCTAGAATTATAATATTTTTTGGAAGATTTCAAACAATATTTTTTTTCGAACCTTTAAAATTAGAATTTCCTTTCTTGGAAATCTTAAAACTATAATTTTCTTTGGTGGAAGCTTTAAAATAGCTATTTTGTGTGGAGTCTCTAACAATATTTTTTTTCTTTTTAGAATGCATAAACTATTTTCTTTTGTGCA